GAAAAAAGTAAGTTTAAATAAGTACATCGAATTTACGTAAATGAATATACAAATCAACCATGTTATGATGTATATACACATCTTACTGGAAACGTTTTATATTTATTTTTATACAGTTAGTGTATACGTTTCCAAACTTTCTAGAAACTCCGTGCACATACGGGCAGCATACTGCACAAGAAGGGTGGTGTAAGACCCATTTCCTACCGCTATGTATAGCGTACGAGCAAACATATAATATATATATATATATATATATATATACAGTGCGTGTGTATGAGTACTGTGTACCTACTCGGTTGGAACGAAAGTTGAATTCAGGTTCGAAAATCGAGACTTGTCCAAGACGTTTATTCTTTCAATTACACTAATGGATTATTTATATGTACTATGACCGCCTGAAGATATTATTCACTCCCACTGAAAACGAACGGGTTTTCTCGCTTTATAATACGGTCGTGGTATAATAAAACAGTACATAACGTTTTCCATTGAAAAACGTCGGAATCGATACTGCGGTCGAATACATATGGTTCGGGCAAAGTGGAAAATTCGGAAAATGTATACAATGCCTGGGAATTGTATACAGTGACCGGGCATTGTATACAATGTCCGAGGTATATTGGGCAATGTAAATTGTGAAGTATTTATACAAAATAATCTGCATAATATATTATGTTTTTATTGAAAATTATTAATATTACATTATTATACATAATTAATAATCATCAATATAACATAATATAATATATTAATATTATTTTTTTTTCTTATAAAGTATAATTAGTTATACGTTACATCTATCTTTTGGTTAAACACTAATGACATTTTGTGAATGCACAATATATCCCGATAACGAAACCGATAAATATCTTATCTCATATAATTTTGGTACGTACAGTTTTACTTTAGTTGTAGTTTACTGTCACTCAGTTTATATTGTGCAGTGCTTAAACAAACATTTATTTAGTTTCTACATTTTATTTAAAACGGAAAAATTTAATGCGAAATTGAATATTGTGTTAAATAAAAAAAATGTGAATTTTTCCATTTTAAATAAAATGTAGAAAATAAATAAATGTTTGTTTAAGCACTACATAATATAAACTGAGTGACAGTATACTACAACTAAAGTAAAACTGTACGTACCAAAATTATATGAGATATATAATATATTATGCAGATTATTTTGTATAAATACTTCACAATTTACATTGCCCAATATACCTCGGACATTGTATACAATTCCCGGGCATTGTATACATTGTCCGAATTTTCCACTTTGCCCGTAACATATATATATATAAACGTATTGATTTGAAAACATATCACTGTCCATATTTATCTATGTCGGTTAGAGACGCGTACGTGTATCGGCTAACTTTAAACATTTCGCAAATGTCAAGGAACGTAATACGCGTGAAAACGTGCCCTTTGAAAACAATAAACGACGTGCGCCCGAGAGTATAAACTTTTGATTTTTTCCTTACCACCGCGATATCCCTACCTCTTAATCGCGGGTTGTAATTGTTTAAACGAGCATTTAAAACCAAACGCGTTTTTTTTGTCGACAAGTTAAATAGATCTATCAAAGAGTTGTGCGTTATGTGCAAAACGTATTAATTGCACGATGGTGCGCGCGGTTGGGCTGCGAGTTTAGTGGTGAGTTGCGTGCGCGGGGGAGGGGGGTGTAATCGACAACAAATCAATCAAATTTTAATTTGGAACTCGAAAACATCAAATATTTGTGGTGTAAACCGCGTAGTGATTCCCACCGCATCGTGTCAGGATCGGAACGCTTTGATGCAGGACGGAACAAAAGCCTTCGGGGTCGGATGCTGAGGTGTGGATGTGTCGGCATAGTTGTCGTGGACGGATTGTAGCGACGTTCGTAAATTAGTACACGACACATACGCGTAGAATATGTACTGCCGTTTACACGTGTATCGCGTTTAAGTCGTGGGGGACCGGGGACCGAATCGGATTATTTAGGTACGAGTTCGGCACAAAGGGACTTGATGTATATAACCGTTTTTGACGTTTTTTCAAAAAATACAATAACCTACGTATGAACGTCCGTTCGTGTACGTTGTTCCGAACGAAAACAAAGCGTCTACAGAACGGATTGCGGGTGGGAAAAAATCTCGCAACGTCGCCGGTTGTTCTCAGGACACTTGACGCGCACCTTCTTTACGGTCACAGGGTCAACGCGTTACGGAATAATCCGGACGCAGCAGGGCACACCACCGGTCCGTGTACTTCGCCCAGAACATGTGGATGGGTACACTTGTCACTGGCTAGTGTACGCGTATTGTGGAAAGCACTCGGGTAGGGCAAGAAAGATTGACCGGATGTCGCTCGGTGATAGATTTCAATACCGGGTATAGTGGGTTAATATACATTGCATGTGTAATAATAAACCCCGAATCGTTCGGCGAGAAGTCCCGAGGGACTTAAAGATTTATACCGGTGGCCGAACATTGTACATTATAGCTATTATTATGAGTAGTTTAACGGTTTAACGTCTGTTGGCCGCCAAACAGTGACGATGAGTTTACAAATAGACGAATCAAGTATAATCACGTTTATTGCTTCTGGCGTGACGACGATCCGATAATGTATCTCGAAATGTATCACGTAGCACACATAGGATGGAACGGGGTTATAATACACGGCGCCGAACGATATTGTCATTGATAAGTGCTTGGCGCGGAGAAAAATATCCAAAATAACCCAAGTGCAACGACTGTATGCAATGAATCAATGTAAAACAATGAAACACGGCTGGCGACTGTTCGATATCACTGGAACCACCCGCAGTAGTATAAATTCCCGTTTGAACGATTGAAAAGTTGTTTTGATTTTCGCTAAACGGAAATTTTTTGACGTGTACTTCGTCGCTGTTAAATAATATACTTTTATAATATATAACTCATCAACACTCACCAAAAATTTGTTCGAAATGTTTTTTTTCGGCATTAACACTGTAGCACGTATTGTTTTTTTAGCAAAAAAATCATATCGATAGCAGAGACACAGTAATGAATTCGGAGCTCAACTATTGGCAGGGGCGATCTATAAATGTTTCATGAGAGGATAGTGTAGAGCCATATATATATTCAAATAAAATATGTATATGGTAAATTTTAGCTTTAAAAACAGAGTTGAATTTTATAACAATTAAATGAATAAAATAGTATAATATTGTGGTATTACAAATTAGTTGTATACTTTATTTTTATTATATGGAGTCAAGTTTTCGTTGTTTTTCTTTAGAAAATCTGTTAACTATATTTTTATTTTTATTTTTATGTCATTTTCGCAATAAATATATAAATATTTATAGATATACATAAGAGTCAAAACTGCCAATCTTTCTTTTCCCATTCTTGCCCTTACCGAAGATTTAAGAAGAAAAACTCTGCTGTTGCGACAGATATTGACAACGTAACAAACATTTTAAGAAAACATGTATGAATTCAATAGTAATTTTGATTTAAACGATTTAATGTCTCATGAGCGGAATTTATATTTTTAAACTCAAAATTTACTAATAAAGAACTATTCTCTTTTCTTTTTTCTCACGGAAATGACCGAGACGACGTGTGACGCGCGACGGTCAATGATTTCCGGCAGTAACAAAAATAATAATTTGATTAATTTTATTACTATATAATATTATCAATTAACATGAGCTTTATCACAATTATTGATGTGCGGTTTGTGCGTACAAAAAATTATAACCGATTCTGTACGATGTGAGTTGTTCATATTATTCTCTTGGAACACAAAAAGTATAATATTCTTAAATAATCAATAAAAAATAATTAAATAGTTTGTTTTTTCCGTGTGTGAAATAAATTTTTTGAGAGCGCCTAATTAAGAGCGGAAGACCGATTTAAAAACGTCACGGGTATAAGTACTATATAATTTACTAACCATAGGATTCAACCGTGGTTAAAACATCACCAGTAAAGAATTCCAAAGGGTGGGAAACCCATCGTTCGCCCCCCTCAGCTACGCTACTGCGGAAAAGTACTCAACGGCTAGCAACGGTCTGCTAAAAGGACGCTCACGGTACCCGTTGTGCGACACAAAAAAAATGTTTTTCTAAACACGCACGCCTTAATGGTGGCATTCTCATTCCGACGGTCGGGTGTACCACGTGGTGGCACCGTCGTCGTCATAACACAGAAACCGTCGCCGACGTGCACGGAAAAGCCCTCAGGGTTAAGTGACAGACGATACGCTGCGGTGAAACTTCCGCGCCGCACGTCAGAACAACACGAGCGTTGCTGCGTGTGCAGGGACTTGCGCAGCTCGCTTTTATGCGATGTCTACTCGTGCAGAAACTTATACGTCTATTTTCGCCCGAATCGGATTCGTCTATGCACGATACGTCTACGTGATACTATCACGTAACCCTCCGCGAAAGGAGCACACGCAATAAAGCGAAATTAATAAAACGACAAAGTCGTCGTACGTGTCGCGAGTGCGTTTAACGATACGTGTCGTGCGAGGCATATGTACTCCATTTGAATTATTATAATCGGAGTGATTGTATAATTATATCATACGTAGCTATGCCGGAAAAGCTCTAACGGTTCGGATTAAAGTTGCAGTGTATAGTCCGATGTAATAATACATATCGTTTACATAAATCTTTTATATCAAAGAGGAGAATATTATAGAAATATATATATTTGAGTTGTATAGGTAAATAATAATTATTGCAGTCGAACAAAAAATCGTTTTGCCGGATACTTTTTCCAATTAACGAGTATAGTTATGGAAGAGAACGTGAAAATGCAAGGAACGGGTGATAAGTATGTAGATAACACATCTGGTACGACGCGTCCGTGTGCTGAACGCGAAGGAGCAGAAAAGGGGTGCACAGGACGGTCTACAAGCGTTTTTACCGACACGTTTCGAAACGTGTTTGAAACGAAAACGGGTTCAGTAGGTGATCGAAGTAAAAAGTTAAAAAAAAGTGTACTCACGGCGTTGTTGTATCTGACGTAGTTGAGTGGGTCCGTGTAATCGTTGATGGTGCCGCCGTTGGACGGCGGGTGGTGCATGGCGTTGTTCTGGTTGGTGCCGAGATAGTTGACGGCGGCCGTGGCGTAACGCGGGTCCACCGGGACAGGGCCGGCCAGGGGTATGCCACCGCCCCGGGGAAGGGTTGTCTGGCTGCCGCCGCCGCCGCCACCGCCGCTCTTCGGGGTGGTCGACCGCTGCAGCGGGTCGTCGATCGCCGTGTTGATGGTCAACGAGTCTGGGCCGCCGGTGCTGCCGCCGTAGTCGATCTTGTACCGGTAGTTGCTCAGCGACGACCCAGTGCCCGTTTCCATTTTGATGTCCGACACGTTCGACGACGCGTCCGATTCCTTGGCGCCAGCGCTCTGCTTGTTGTCCGTGTCCGATTCGGCACCGTCGAAATCCGCTGCGAACACGACAGAGATACGAACGATTTAATACGCATCACGTTTTCGCAGTTACAAATATTTAGCGCGCATAAATGTTAACTTGTTCCGAGCAGTGATCGCCAAGGTCATTTTAGTTAAATGTAAAATCGGTTATTGTGTATGAGATGAGCTGCAAAAGGAAATATGCCAAGGGCGCCACGGAGGCTAGTTATAACCGGTAGCACTGCGTTACCTGAACGGACGTTCGGTAAACCATTGCTCGCCGTTTATGGTCGAATACGCATTTACCATTAGTACTATTATTGTTGGTAGTAGTATTTAACGCTACGTAATATTTCATTTGTACAACGGTATATACGCGTACCATATGGTGACCCGGCGCGTCCCTAGATCGATTCCGGCGAAAAGTCGAAGGAACACAAACGAAAACGCGCAAACGTTCTCGCGCTTACTCGCACAACGTACCACGTACAGGGTCGACTAGAACTTCTTAGGACCCCTGGGCTGCGGGGTTTTTGGGCCCCCTTCCCTTTGCAATTGTTTGACCAAGACGCAACAAGACGACTTTTACATGCTTTGGTACAAAAAAAAACATTGTATACAAGACCGAAACGACGGGCCCTCTCGAACTTACGGGTCCCGGGGCTCTAGCTTTCCCTACCTCACCTTCTCGCTGGCCCTGATCAAGTATACCCTAAGAACACGGAGCACACGATCCGCGGCACTTCGCGTAGTCATTACGTCACAATCAGTGCGAGTGGGCATGTTTAACGGTCGATAAAATGCAATCGTGACGCGTAAAACGCTGCGCGTACCGGACGCAATAAAACACCTTGTATCGTGGGGAGGAGCCGTATAGAATACGTGTATGATTACAGTACGGACGACCCATTTATTCGTAGCTCGACTTCAGCATGGAAACGGTCAAAACGTGTATCATTCCTTTCGCGCGAATTTTCCAAATGTTAATACGTCGCACGCGCGTTGCTTTTTTATACCTCCGACGGTCTTGCGGTGCGTATCGCAACGTCGTACATCCCATAGGCGCCACCACGGATCTCGTGGGGTGAGCGCGTCGTGCGTGGTATATACGCTGATCCATAAATAATGCTTAAATTATCTTCACGTCAAAAGCGTAGGATCCATCTTCGCAAATTTTACGACGGCACAAAGTTGTTTTCCTTTTTTTTCGACCGCTATAAAGTAACGAGAACTACATAAAAAAATCCGATAATCATCACGGTAGATTTCGTCCGGCAGTCGTAAATTTTATTTTATTTTAAAAAATCAGGAGGGGTATGCGAGTGCGCACCCGTCCTCGCGGCGCCCACTGATATCTCTCATTGTCCATACGAGACACGTGTGCACTGCGCACCGCTCTTTGGTATCGTACACAGTATGGTTGTTGGTAAAAGCGTTATCGATACAGCGATATCTGCAGTCGTAGCAATGATTAGTGTTCGGGTTGTTTTCCCATTGGGTTTTCGGACCACTCGGAATACGAAGAAATCGGCAGGGAAGCTAATTATTTGGTACAGTCTGAAAGGGATACGATAATACAATACAACACCCCTACAGCGTTTACAGGAATACGTCGCATACAATTTTCCCACATTTCACGCGACGAGACGAGAAAATGCGTGTTCATAAAATATATTGACTTGCTATCCTAAGTATTATCGGATCGGCTGTCCCGTGTTGTCGTGTACCGCGCATGTATTGTATTCGGATTCCGATTCAAAGAACGTATGGGAAAATTCAACAATATTATAATAAACGAACGGTCGTTACACGTGCACGCGACGAAAACGCATGGACTCGGCCACGGAATACGAACATCATACGATACAGTTTTTTTTTTCTTATTTTCGCGACTGTACGAGAAGATCCTCGCCGGAAACGATGGTAAAAAAGGCGTGTTACGCACTTAAGCGACACCGTTTGTTGTGCAGTAAACACGGAAATCGATTTTATCCGGCGGTTACGAAAATAAAACATATCAAAACGTTTGCCACAGCTATGCGTCGCGGACGCGTATGAATGTAACGACGCGAGAACTATAACGTAGACGTGTTCGCGAGACGGCCGCCGAGACGCGTTGTATTGGACAGTAATGGCTACGGAAGACGGATAAAAATAAAAAAAATCGGTAATCCAAACAATAGAAACGTACAGTCGGAGAGCCCATTGGGTGTATGCTAATGAACCTAGTCAAGTGTACCGATTCTCCGTGGCACACAACATGACGGATGTATAATACGAATTTATTCCACGCGTTTCCCCGACAGGCGATCTCGATTACGGTTTGCGAGCGACACGAATCGGAATCCGCGCGCGTTGCTGCGGAAACGGCGACGTTTAACAACTGTCTTACCACGCGCAGGGTCGTATATAGATCGGATCCATCGTGCGTATTCGATTCGATCGCGGACGACCTCGAATTCGATCTAAGGCCGTTTTCCGTACGCTTTCGTTCGTCGATCAATACGGGCGACCCGCCGCCGTCAATGTTCACCGTCTTAAATGAAGCTGATTCAAATTTATTTAGAAAAAAAAAATGTATACGCGTTTTAACTGTAACACATTTGTTATTAACGTACATGTACGGTTAAACGTTTTTTCTTCTTAAAATTCCATCTAAATACAGTGGGTACCTACTTCCGATTGATCTTTACCGAAGAAAAAACTATTCTGGTCAATCCGGAATAGTTATAATATATATAATACTTATAATGTAATATTATACCGCACGATGACTGTTGTCAGAATCGCAGTGTCGTACTAACAGCAGGAAGGAGGAGATAATTTTTTGTCTAAGTCAATCCATTTATGAATTTGAAAATCCCTTTCAAATATGCAAGTCTAAGTACGACATTGACGGTATATTTGTATTAGTATCTAATATAACACTGGATTGCAAATTAAAAATGTATTGAATTCGAATTCGTGACAGTCTCAAAACATAACTACGTCAGTACCGTAAAAACCGGGTGTGTAGAGGGTGCATTGCACACAGACCCCATGCTTCGAACTACTTATTATGGGGTCTTAAAAGGTCAAATGTTCAAAAACGTTTGATGAGGCCTCGAGGTTTTCATTCTCACACGGGTCTCGAGTGATCTAATTATGGTACTAAACCACGTACAAATAATTGACTTTAATTTTTGACTATAAATGTTGTGGAACGGAGTACTTATCTCGCGTGCTATACGTACTTATCAGTATTATTTTTCGTCGCAAACTCCCTTGCCCTCATCCTGTACTTCCGGTCATAAATAATTTGTGTGTGTTGTAAGAAGTAGGTAAAAAATAGTTATAACACATTGGTTAAGGTTTTAAATAAATAATTATTTCAAGTACACACTTGATAGTAATTAGTTATAAAATATGACAATATTGTGATGGATGGTTGAAGTTTGAAATGTTTCGCATGACTCATATATACTCATATCGCATTATATCTCTATAGAAATATAGGTACTTAGAAAAGTTAGAACGGCACATATATATTATCATCATCATCAACATCATCATCATCCTCATCATTATTATTATTAATAATTATATCATTTTTGCACGACGAACTATTGTTATCCTTCAGTTTTACGGGAGAGTTTTGAATATACTACTTAGGAACTTTGTTGATTCATCAGACCCGTATAAGCCAAATTTATACTGTTACCAGTCGCCTTCATTAAGGGTTTATAAGAAAACTACAAGGGTATACCAAATTTATTTATTTTATTAATTCATAAAAATGTGTATCCTTTTTGCTTCAAGGAAAATAAAATATATACCAGGACTCACGGGAAGTATTTGGTTTATATACTTTAACATTCCATGTGATACCCGTACTGTATGCCCGAATTAGAAGATATAATGATAAATATTAATTGTGTGCAGGAGTATAAAAGTTGATCGTCCTTCGCCGTGTATCTATGTCGCATTTTAATCGCTGTAGTGTATATATCATTATAAAATGTCTATAGAAGGCATACATTATTCGTGTTTGATTCAACAAAAAACACGCAAACACACGTATACATTTAGCGTTGGCCGTAACGTACATGTTTCCAGTAATTTCCGCGCAATAAATCAAAATACCCGCAGAGCAATGGGGGTACGTTCGCAGATAAGTAGGGAGGTCCGAACATGAGGTTTTCGTACAATACGTCATATTTGAACAATTTAATTTCGTTCAGTCGACCGTATTCAGATACACGTTTTCAGCGTTCAAACGCATCGGATGGAAAAACTATATTTATTTTTAGTGAATTTCGGTTTAAATTTTCTAATTTATATAACTGCAACGCTCTGTACGAGAACAACACGTCCGAGGTTATTATCATTATCATATCCACACTTAATTATAAAATTCAAACATAGAACCGTTACTGGACGGACAATTAAAACAATTTTCTTATTTCCTATTTGTAATTATTTATAAAGAAAAAAAATTATATATTATAACAACAGCATGGAATCGAAGTATAATAAGTAAATTACGTCCTTTGCTCCATGGCAATTGAAATTAGTAAAAATAAAACACGCATATTATGTTCTTATTACATAAAATAATTATATATTTTCATAACAAGTACTTGATGAAAGATTCTTTTTCTCCCGATTCTGGTTAAAACTTGAGTTGAATTATTTTTTCTTCTACTCCCGGAAAAATAAAATATAATTAAGATCGTGCAGAAAAATATTGATGGATGCGAGTTTAAAGATTTTCGGTTCGACCATCTCTGAGTACCTCTATATATATATATATATATATACCATAGCGAGTATAATATAGAACTGCGGTTTGATATTATCAAAACGTATTCAAATAATTTAGCAAGCACCGCTGTATTTTACAAAACGTATGGTTAATTAAACACACGGAATTACGGAGGACATGTAAACAATTAACAGTATTCCATTGTGGTTTAAGCATAGAACAGTAAATAATAACAGAAGGACAACTCATTCAGTTTGTATGTAAACGCTTTCAAAACAACTATTTTATAGA